TCGTCACAATTTCCCTGACGAACAACATTTAGTGCTTGCGGATGACGGCCATGGCGTCGAGCTCCTCCTTCTCGTTAAACTCGGTGTTGACCTGGTCCATGATAGGCTGGAGGTAGCGGGCATCCTAGAGGGAGACTTGGGTCAGCGTTCCGAACCCGATCACGAGGCATTGTGGCACTTCTGCCGAGCTGGTAGAAGGGAGGGGCTTCCGTACAGTCTGCTGGTTAACCCACTGGTCCTTGGGGAGGAGCTTGTGCTGGTAACTGCACTGGACCGCACGGCGGATGCGGTAGATGCGCTCGTAGGACTCCTTGGCGGAGAGACGCTTGAGGGCCTTCTGGGCAACGTCGTTCTCCTCCTCGATAAGATCGTCGTATCTGCATCCATTGAGAGACCTGGTCAGCCACAATTCTCGCAAAAACCGATGCCTTCTCTGCAACTAGAGTGTTTCAATTGGCTGTGCATCTCGATCGAGTCGCATCGTAATCGGTTGAGGGTTCAAGTTTTTTTTTATCTCGCGTACCTCAGACCCAGCTGGCGGTAGCCGGCGGCATTGGTGTACCAGGAAGCGACGGGCTTGAAGAAGCTGGCGAGCCAGGGTCGGCTGATAATGTAGGGGGCGAGCGAGTACTTCATTGTGAAGAGGGAATTGGCGCGAGAGGACGAGTGTCGAGAGGTGGTGTCGGTTCGTACAAGTCGTCGATTCCGTCGTCGTTCGTCGGGGTTCCGGGAATGCGCGAAATGGGGATGGGCTGAGTGGAAGCAAAACTTCCCGCCCGGCAGCTGCTTGTACCATCACGTGATTCCGTCCTTTCTTCGCCTTTGATGACCATTGCTCAATTGCTGGCAGCTCGCTGGCTGGAATTTTTCAGTGGGGCCAACAGGGGTGGGTACCTGCACAAGTACTACAGTCTCTGTTGTCTAAGCTTGGAGTCGGGAGCGATGAAGTGAGGTTCAGGAAACGTGATTGAGCACGTGATACTACCGTTTGGCTTTTCTCATGCAGGGACGGAGTTGCGGGCGGAGGGTCGCGCTCTCGATGGGTGAGCGGATGCGGTCACGGGGAAGGGTGCAGCAAGGGAAAAGTGGGGGTCATGTGTCCCCGTCCGTCCCGCATGAAGCCGGCTTTCGGAAGAGAACGGCCAGGTTTCGAGGCTGTTGGGCGTCCATATCGGGGAAAAAGTCTTGAGGCGACCAGCGAACTTTTTTCAAGAAAAGAGCCGGAAGGGGCATTTACAGTTCTAAAGGTAGTAGTATACCAATCATGCCTCCACCCTCAAGTCAACAACGACGATTGAGGATGTAGACAGCAAGAATGCGTGTACTTTTTTTCTCCATCCAAATTTCTTGTGGTAAATATCTACTTTTGTACTGCCAACGTGAAGGAGGGCTTGACCACATCAGCAAAGTGTCACACACTCTCTATCGACCTAAATGGTGAAGCGTCAGCAGGTCGCTGCATTCTTCGTACTGTAGTGTAATATGTAATACGTCAGATCGACATCGGACCTTGTGGACGTGGGATGGCCATGACACAGACGCAGACGCAGACAGACTCCGAATTGTGCGAAAAGACATGTGCCACCGACGCAAGCGCGCACGCAAGACATGCAGGACCAGCTCGGCTCACTGCACAAGAAACAGCGCCGCAAGGCCACCCCGACGCCAGGGACAAAGGTCTTACTCAGGGTTAATTCTAATCAGATGGTAGATGGTGGGATGGGTGTTCAGGCACTGGACTACTTCTCCAAGTATTGCCCCAAAAAGGTCGCGCAACATTGTCTCCATCCACTAATATGCCACCCGGCTTTTGGGCCTTGAAGAGTACGTAGACACACACAAGACTGCGTCATTTGTTCCTGGGTCCAAACCGGCTTGCACCGGGCAGAAAAGACATCAAAATCTACCTGAACGTCAGTACTGTCCTCTGTTAGAAGAAAGGGAAAAAACCGACTAGACAAAGCGCCTCTGAAAAAAAGATTGCCCACTATTTCTCGGCGCGACGGCGACACCACGCCGCCCGACCATAAGTGACGACCCACTGTCCTCCACTGACCGATAGCGCTGAAAGCCCCGGCAGACGTTGCCGCTGCAGACGCTACACTGCAGGCCGGGGGCCCTTCATAAGCCAATGGCCGATGCAAACCCGCTGGCTGCAGCCCAGTTCTTAGGTCGTTCATCATCTATCCCGTCCACTGACGAAACTTGGCCCGCCTGCCAACTTTCTTTCTTCCCTCTCCAACTTCTTTTCTCTCCAACTCCTCCCACCGTCTCTATCGCTTCCTTTTCCCTCCTCCACGGGTCGCCGCCTCGCCGTCCACTCCTCCCAACTGCTTCGGGTTTCTCCCGCCCATCGTCCCCCACGGCCCCGGTCCCTCCGGCCGCCCAAGCGAATTCCCTCAGCCTCGTCGCTGAAGTCAATGGCCGGCGCCAATCGATAACGCAGGACGCAAGTGGGAATACGGGTTTACGTCGCGCGCGTGGACAGCGGCGTTTGTCCCCCCCCCCCTCCCCCCTTCTCCCCGCAGTACTCAACACTGGAGCAAGCAGGGAGTAGCACTCAGGGAACCTGGAACAGCGAGGCCGTCCTATACCGGCCCGAAGCAACCAACTTGATTTTCTGAGTATTTACGGATGGGACCTTGAAAGAGTCATTGAATGATAAAGATTCCCTCGTAAAAGGAAATCTTGATCCTGGAAGATCCTGGAAAATCCTGGAAGGATATTGTTCTTCTTTTGCTTTCAACTTCGACGACGGGGTATTCATCAAGTTCTTTTTTTTTTTTTCCTCGCTCCACGACAGGGCTGCTCCCCAGCCAAAGCAGCGACAGCACGGCGAAACTCTCGAGATTCTTTTACGACAAACGACGACATCAATACTATACCGATTTCTCTCTCCGAAAATCAGAAAGGCGATCATCACACAATCCAACCAGAGGAAGTACCGAGTAAACGAGAGAGACGGCGGGAATGACGTCTCACGACCAGCATTCCCCCGAAGCTGGCCGGCCGCCGTCTCCAGAGTTTGCTGTATCCTCTTACGGACTCGCTGCCGCCGAACCTCAAATGCTTACACACACAGCGGTGACACCGGTGCATCGATGGGCTCTGCATGCGTCCGATTCCCAATTTAATGCGCTTGCTGGTGCCATCGGAGGCTTCACATCTGGCATCGTGACTTGCCCACTCGACGTCATCAAGACCAAGCTACAAGCGCAGGGTGCCTACACCGCGATTAATAAGGGTCGCCATGTTGGGCATCCCAAGTTATATAATGGCCTTGTTGGCACGGCCAGTGTGATATGGCGTGAGGAGGGTGTCCGTGGGCTGTATCGTGGGTTGGGGCCCATTGTCATGGGTTACTTGCCAACCTGGGCTGTGTGGTTTACCGTCTACAATAAGTGCAAGGTCTGGCTAGGGCAACACCATGGTGAGTAGGAATAGAACCGAAACGAAATATTCCGCGTTTATTGAACCTCTTGCTAACACTGATGATTCCCAGAAAATACATTCGTTATTAACCTCTGGTCATCAATAATAGCCGGCGCCAGCAGCACCATCGTCACAAATCCAATTTGGGTCATTAAAACCCGGCTTATGTCGCAAAGTCATATTTCTCATCTTCACCATGAAAACCTATTCCCCAAGCCTGGTAGCACTCCTACTGCAAGACCGACTTTGCAAGCGCCATGGCATTATAGGTCAACACTTGACGCTGCTCGAAAGATGTACACGTCAGAAGGGATCATGTCCTTCTATTCGGGTCTGACACCAGCTCTTCTCGGTCTGACCCATGTCGCTGTTCAGTTTCCGACGTATGAATACTTCAAGAAGTCGTTTACCGGCCAAGCTATGGGTGAGGCTCCCAGTGAAGGCGATGGTAGACAATGGGTCGGTATCTTGTCGGCCTCAATCCTATCAAAAATCCTCGCCAGTAGTGCGACATACCCACACGAAGTAATTCGTACGAGACTACAAACCCAGCGACGCCCAGTTGCAGGAGAGCAATTCATGCAGGACATGGGTGCCAATCCCGACGGATCTGCCCAGAAATCCACTAGGCATATTCCAAAGTACAGGGGTGTTGTTCACACATTCCGAACCATCCTCGCAGAGGAAGGTTGGAGGGCATTCTATGCCGGACTGGGCACCAACATGATGCGAGCTGTCCCCGCGGCGACCGTCACGATGCTGACATATGAATATGTGATGAAGAACTTGAACAAGACAAAGGCTGAGGCACAAATACTGCTATCAAGGTGAAGAGAAAAAAAAATCCGAGAGGTCAACACACATTGTTGTACATTGGGCATATAAAAGAAGGGGAGACAGGCCTCCAAAACCACTGGGAGGTATTTGTACACATGGGTTCATACGGAAAGGACATGGCCTGGGGGCGGAGCACAGCACTGAGATGCCTTCGGTCGGTTGAAGGCTTTAGACAACAACATTTTTTTTATAATGGTTCAAAACAGGTCACACACGTAGGTACCTAATGAGCAGAGTGCCGAGTGAGAGTTATTCTGTCATGTCATGATCACAACGGCACGCCCACGGATTCCGTGCCCATTCGAAATCATCTACGCACGGTAACGGGGATTTTTTTTTTTTTCTTTGAAAGAGCAGAGAGCAGGGTACTCTTGGTCGAGGGACTTTAGCCGTGAGAATCATGGCAGATCGGATGGTGTAGTTCATACAGCGTTAGGAGTGGAAGATATAACATCAGGAACAGATGATTTACTGAATACTCATTGTTATGTATTTTCTGAAATTGGTACATTACAATTCCATAGCACATAGAAGGACTGTTAGCCAAGTTGAACATGAATGATATTGGGTGCCTGTTTACTATGCTCAAGGAAGGACGAAACACAAATATGACTCTTCGCATTCAGTTGCGGAAGCGACGAGTGAGTATGGTGAATGTCCCTGGTTGGCCTTAGCAGTAGACTCTTATACATCGAGAACACCCTTGTCGCTCAACAGTCAATAGAGATTGAGCCCGGCTAGCTCAATCGGAAGAGCGTGAGACTCTTACGAGTTCTTCGTTAAATCAGACATCTCAAGGTTGTGGGTTCGAGCCCCACGTTGGGCTATTCCTATACATTTACTCTCTTTTTGTTTTTGTCGTTTTTTGGTCTTTTTTGGCCACCTAAGCAATCAATCCTCGGGTGAAGAATGACTGGTGATTTGGTCTATATTAAAAACATTAATTGCGCTATTCGTATTAATCGCAGAACTCAGAAATAAGTTTACTATCAATTCTTTAGAGTAATTATGAGTTTTGAAAGAATGTGGTATGATTTCGTTTATTAATTAATATGCACTAACTACCCATAACAATTTGGTGGGTAGTTAATGTAGACATATAGATATGTATATATATATCAGCCTTGTAATATAGCAGTGACCCTCTTCCTGACCAGGACTTACTCACCTTCTTTAAGTTTTGTCTCCACCCGCTCACCCGCCTCAGGTCCGGGCTCAAAACGACCAATACCAGCTGTGTATTTCCAGAGAATGCCAATTGGCAAAGCAGTATGAATCCTCGGGTATGTTCCCTCTTGCATGAATAGAATGCATCTGTTCCACTATAAACTAATAATCCTTCATAATAGATGTTCATAGCCCCAGGGGCTGCGTTTACAATGGCTTGCGTCCTCCTCGCGTGAGTGGTAGACAAGTGGCGTGGTTCCGGAGAAAACATGAACTTTTTCGAAGCTGATGTGCGTAAAACCACTCATTCAGGTACACGAGATCGTCAATCAGAGAAGCGAGAGAGAATGCGGTAGGCTTTTCTATGTACTTTTCAGATTTTTGCTTCGATTCTAATGACACGGGTTTTCCCTAGAAATCTCAAAAGTTAGGAGTGCCTCCAAGAAGAGGAGAGTCGTGAGGCTGAAGGCACTCAAGAAGATTCTGGGAGTTCGGTTGCCAGTGTACAGCAGTGTGCTCAGGAGTTTATCATATTACAGCTATTATGTTTAGACCTGGTGACAAAGCAATCTCCGGACGGTGCGATGCATTTTTATGAGAAGGACGGAATTGTAAACCGGTTACCCCTTGTCCTTCCAAAGGAGGACTTCCAAGACCGAATGATTTTTACTATTTTTCCACCTTTCGTCCTGTTCCCTGCCCCTCCCAGGTCGTCTGGAGCCTTATGTCACTTCGCTCACTACCGCACCTAGACCATAAACAAGTTTAACAAACAGATAAAAAAAAGCAGCAGACACATTTCGCCTGCATCAACAAAAAAAAGATAATTCATATAGGAATAGCCCAACGTGGGGCTCGAACCCACAACCTTGAGATGTCTAGTTAACGAAGAACTCGTAAGAGTCTCACGCTCTTCCGATTGAGCTAGCCGGGCTCAATCTTGTTATCGACTGTTGCGGTGCGAGCTTCGATTTAGCGCTCATACGCCAATCCCTTCAATTGATGCATATCGATAAGAAGTAAACGGGTCGCTGTCCCCTCCACTCCACAGTTCAAAACACTGGCCAATGGGCGAAAAGAATACAGAGAAAAGAACCCAGGGAGAAAAAAAACAATAAAGGAAAGACGGCCAAGAGGTGGTCCGGGACTCCGGGGGCCGCCCGTCGACGGGGCCCAAGCTCCCGGAAAGCTTACTGTCACCGTGTCTGAGCCATCATTGGTCGTAGCTATCGCGCCGCCTGCATCGGAGCCAGAAGCCAAGAAGCTCAGACCCCAGACCCAGACCCAGACCTAGACCTTTGTTTGCTGAGTTATCTTACCTTCTGTTATGTTGGCCACCCAAAGGTACCGTCCCAAGTTACGGTGGTAAGGTAAGGTAGTTGGGCCAGTTACTGTCCGTTACCGCGCACTCACTCCGTAATGAGATTGCTCTCGGGCTCAGACTCAGGCTTGGGTTTGGGCCGGGCCTAGGCCTGGACCTGGTTGCCATTATGGTTGCGACTGCAACTTTGCGACAGACGGGCTGGTTGAAATCCTCCCCCCCCCTCCTCCAACGATTCTCTCTCCTGCGCCCGCGCCCCCTTCGCGTCTCCTCTCTCCTCTCTCGCTCTGTTGATGTGTGTCCTGTCTTGATATTCCTTCTCCCCTTTTCCGTATCGCTGCTTGGCTCTAATCACCTTGTCCCTTCCAGTGCCTACCTAATCTCTCTTTATTTCCTTTCCCTCTTTCCCCTTCCCGCCCCCTCTTCCAGCTCCGCTTGCGACATAGTTCCAAAGCGCATATCTGGGGAGGTCAGCACACCATCGCCCTCTTCCCTTCTGAGCAAGCTTCCACGTCGCATACGCGTTTCGCATCATATCGCACTGCATCGTGCCTTGGTCGCATCACGTCGCGCAACGGTTTTCTTCGCTTGATTTATCCTATCTCTCTTTGTCAAATCCGCCCGCGACGGCAAAGAACATAAACATCCCCCCCCTCCCAACCTAAAATTAAAAAATATGCCTGTCGAACTGCGCAAGCGCAAGGCCCGCGAGCCTCCTGCGCCCGCGCCCGTCAAGAAGACAGCCACCGGCAGGGTCACCAAAGCCAAGGCTAAGCCCGCAGCGGTGAAGGCAAATGCGAAGAAGGCTGCACTTGCTAAGAAGGCCTCCGAGGAACCCAAGGATGAAGAAGTCTCCAAGGACGCCAAGAAGGAAGAGCCCAAGGAGGACACCAAGGAAGAGTCCAAGGACGAGCCCAAGGAGACAAAGAAAGCTGGCAAGGTCGAGGTTGGGGAGACCATCGACCTGGATAGCTTCGGTGGTGAAATTGAGACCAACGACGGCGACAAGACCACCTTGAAGAAGCTTGTTGACGAGAGCAAGGCTGGTGTTGTTCTCTTCACCTATCCCAAGGCTTCCACTCCTGGCTGTAAGTTTTACCCATTCTTCCTCGGTACCCCGTCGTATTTTCTGTTTTCAAAAAAGAATATATATATATCTCATGAGCACGTCTCGCTGACCCAGCCACCGATAGGCACGAAGCAAGTCTGCTTCTTCCGCGACTCGTACGAGCCACTGACGGCAGGCGGCCTGGCCATCTACGGCCTGAGCAAAGACTCTCCCAAGGCCAACACGACCTTCAAGGAGAAGCAGAAGCTGCCCTACCCGCTACTCTGCGACCCCAAGTTGACCCTCATCACCGCCATCGGCCTCAAGAAGGCGCCCGCCGGCACCCAGCGTGGCGTCTTCGTCGTGAGCAAGGAGGGCAAGGTGCTCGTTGCCGAGCCCGGCAGCCCCCAAGGTACCCTCGACCGCGTCGTTGCACTGGTTGAGGAGCTGGGCAAGAAGTAATGCATCAAATGCTCAAGTCGGTTCCTACGGTGACGACATTGAGGTGTGATATATCGGGATGTAATGAAGGCATGGGATGTAGAATGTATAGTTTAAGCAAAGGGCGCGTGTTTTCTTCTTTGGTATCCTAGCGTGTTCATGTATGGGCAGTGAAGACCTATGTAGTGTTGAATTTGTACGTATGTGCCTGGGTTTCCGTCCCTGGTTTGTTGAAGTTTCGTGTGTGCGCATGTGAGCTGTGGGGGAGTATTGGGTAGCCGCGCATCTTTATACTCCTACTGGTGATTTTCACTGCTAATCCGGGCTTTGGGTTGGTTGGCTATGTGTAGACTTGATGACACTCATGTTCAGCATGTCATAGGTTCATTGGTTGGGTAGCTCCTATCTGGAGTGAGGTCCATATAATATCCATGTCATCTAACTTGTATCATTTCACGGAGGTGTGCTCTTCAACATCATAGCAAATAACTCAGCAAGGCACCATCTACCTGCTCACAGCAGTAATTACGCCAATCAACTATCAGACCCGGCGAAAAATTGCCTCAGCGAACAGACTACAATTTCTCTTTCTCACCATCGAAGCTCAAATTCCAATATTGGTATAGGGTAAACTATCATCAACTGAGTGTCGGCAGAATGCCGGCTAAATATGGCTCAGGCTGTTGGCCAATAATCACGACTCCATTTCCAGTTGCAAACGTTCCATCACCCGAACCTCAACGACCGACTTCGTCCACCCTTCTGCCATCATGTCGACTCAAGCAGCAGCCAAGGTCGCCGGCGGCGTGGTGAGCATTGCTAAGGTATGTCCAATCCCTCTTCTGCTGACCTCACTCATGCTCAATGGCTCGTCCTCTTGCCCACCCGATCACCCGAATTGCCTCGCCTTCTTTGCATACTATACCCGAGAAAGAGAGAGTCAGTTTAGCTGACCTATGAATTTCGTTCCGCCTCACAGAAGCAAACTCTCCAGTCCACGGGCATCTGGGAGGCCTTCCGTCGCGTCTTCGCTGTCGATGCCAACCGATCCAATGGTGTGCCCCTCAACCCTCACTTCCGTTACCCGGCGCCCGGTGCCCAGGATCCCCTCGAGTATACCGACCCCGTGACGCTCCCTGCCGGTGATATTGCCGACAATGCCTACTGGAAGCGCGACACCCGACGAAACTACCCCCAGCTCAGCGTCGTGAACCAGGCCCAGTTCGCTTCCCTCCTCACCGTGGGCAGCGCCGCTTCTCCCAAGGTTGAGCTCATTGGTGAGGCTGGCGAGAAGGCTCTTGTTGCTGCCAAGCAGGATGCCGAGACTGGCCTTGCCCAAGCTCTGGAGAAGGCTCCCAAGGGCGTCTCCAAGGATATCTTTGTGGACGGCCTGCCACCACTGCCCAGCGGAACTAGCTTGGCGTCGGGAGCGTGGGATGTTCACAAGTACGAGGTGACGGATTCTTCCTATGGCGAGGGGTATGTGACACTGGACAACTGTTCCAGGGTGGATAAGTTTGCTAACAAATTCGCAGTTACCCCTGCAGGTCGTTCAAATAAATGTGTTATTGGAGGAAGCCATTGTGTATACGAATGTGAGGTAGTGAGGGTATAGATTTGCCATTGACAATACAGAAGCTTTCCTTTTTTCTTGTTCAAAAGCCACCACAATTGCACCGTTTCAAAAAAGAAAACTCCATTATATGTTTTTTATCCAATGCCAATAGCCACGCCAATCCGAAACCTAGACGCCCAAATGTCGCTGATCGTCAAAAAAACAAATCCGTTGATGTTCTCCTTCAAGACGACTCCTTTGCGCCACTTGCGCCTAGCATACGCTCGACAATCT